GTGGATGCTGAGGGGAGGTGTGTGAAGCAGCTTTGTCCATATATGCAAGGAGGCAGCAGCCCCCCTCCGTCCCCCCCCCATCCTGAGGTCCCTGCAAGTCTCAGGCTTTGTTAAGACAGCCAGATGCTGCCTGTGAATGGGGACTCCAGCTGCTCAGTACCTCTGCAAACTGGAGCCAACTTCTATCTCTGAGCTGATCCTGGACTCTCAGCATCAGCAGCAACCTTCCCTCTCCCTCTGTCGACAGGGCAAAGTTCTGGATTTGAAAGCTCAGTGGTGCCAGAGTCCCAGGAAGAGCAGGAATCCAGCCCCAAGGTGAGCAGAGCTCTTGGTACATCTGTGGCCAAAACATCTGTAGCCACAGAAGCCGCAGCAGTCAGCTGGGGAGTTGATGGTGCAGGGGCTGTCCCCACTGACTGACTGACCTGTGGCATTAGAAATTGGGTAGGGTTAAGGTGTGGGTGGGGAAGCACAGGGCTGGGATATCAGGGGGCTGCAGGTTGTGATTGAGGGGTGCTGGTGGGGATGGGAGAGAGCCCAGGCTTGGAATAGCAGGGGACTGCAGGTCCAGATTGAGGGGCACCAGCAGAGTTGTGAACGGGGTGGGAGAGCTGGGGGCTCTGTAGTTGCGATTGTTACATTCATGTGTTCAGGGGCTGTGTGCGGAGATTAACTGCTTGCAAAGTGGCAGGAAGTGGTGAGTTATCAGCCCTGAGCATCTCTGTGCTGAGCCCATCTCCTCTCCTCGACCTACTTTCTGCCATTGACTGCTGGCTGCTCCGTGTTTGCCTCCAGCGAGCAGCGGGACCACCAGGCATGGAACTGGGGTGCAGTTTGCAGATGGTGGGGGTTAGCTCTGATGGACAGAGCAGCCAGCACAGAGCGGGAAGGGGACGCATGAGTGAGACTGAACACCCACCATTACCTCAGAGCCCTGTTGTCACAGACACTTTGGGGCTGATGGGAGCAGGATCTGTTGAGCTGAGCTGAGGCCCTAGCTGCATTTGTGGTCTCCTAGTAGGGCAGGCTATGCGGTGAGGGGGGCTGAGGCATCCTCTCTGCAAGGAGAGGGCTGAATAGCACACTGGGGAAGGCTAAAGCCCCAGGGAACAAGCTGTGGCGCACAATTCCCCAGGCACAGATGGTAGAGGGGACTCCGGGTATTTCCCTGCTCTGGAGATAAGCTGGTCCCTGAGTGTCGGGGGGCAGTTAGTGCCCTTCCTGCAGCCCATGAACCCCATAGCATGGGGGTGATGCTCTTCCTGAGAGGGAACAAAGGGACCCTCCTGCTAGTCAGGGGGTGCTCCGCTCCACCCTCCCCAGCAGGAGCAAAACCCATCCCACAGGGAATTTGTTGGTTACAAGAGAGGGTGGGAGTTAGTGCTGCCAGTGGCATCCTAAGCAGCCAGAGGCCTCCACCCAACCCTAGGGCACATGCCACCCTCCCCCCGACACCTCTGCTCTGTCCCCAGAAGCCTACGTGCTACGCCAACCTCAAGATGCTGAAACCCCAAGGCCGGCAGCTGCCAGAATCATCAGTGGGGGGTGCTGAGATCCAGTACACAGATGTGGTGGTGACGGGGCCCAGGCGGTCAGAGCCAGAGATTTGGGGCGGGGGGCCCCCGAAGGGCAGAGAGGCTACGCGGCCGCAGTCAGAGCTTTACGCGTCTGTGCACGCAGACAGGTACACAGCGAAGTTTGAGAACCAAGACTACGCGAACAACCATGCGGTTCCCAGCTGAAGGGTGGGGGGCTAACGGGGTTCTGTGTGCATGATCCATAGCAATAAATACAAGCTTCACTAATGGCTCCAGTGTCTCACGGGCTGCTGAGGATACAGAAATGCCCCTGTTCCAGCAATGCCACTGCCCCAGCCTGGGGCTATGTTCTCGTCCTGCCATGCCTACTTCTTCCTCAAGGAGCAAGATTCCCCAGCCCCGCTCAATAATGCACAGTTCTCCTGCCAGGGAAGGTGATGGGGAATGATACTTCTTGTACATGGGGGCAGGGGCGTATATAGTTATTAGTACTGTTGGGGCGGGTGGGGGGTAGTGCCAGTCACCACCTACCCTGCCACATTCCTGAGCTTGGTCTTCCCGTCATGCCAGGTACTAACATACCCCCCACCCTACAAAACAGAGAGGGGGGTTCCCCACGGAAGGCATGCTCTATGCAGGCCCCCACCCCAGTGCAATGAGAGATGGGCCCTGCCCCAAGCAGCTGGCATTTGATACTGGAAGAGCTGTGGGTGCCCTGTGTGCACCTCAGGCTGGGCTCTTGCATAGTGGGGGTCTGAGCCAGTGTGAGTGGAGGGGATGCAGAGGTGATGTAGGTAAGGCAGGAAGGGGGGGAGGCCAGGGTAAGGGCGGCTGCTCCCAGAGCCCTGCAGCCAGAGACGTGTAGTCTGGGGCATGGCCCCAACGGGGGCAGCAGACACCAGTCACAGCCCCCTCCCCAGGGCAGCAGCCTGGCGGATGCTGGCAGGTTTCACAGCCCGGCAGGCAGCTACTGTGGGGAACTGTCTCGGCTTCTGCACTGGCCCGGTGGGATCCGAGTCCCCGTCCCCTGCCCCCGCCCCCCAGCAGGCGCGGAGTGTAACTCCAAGTGAGGGCAGCGGCTTCAGCAGATGTTACTGAGCATGCTCAGTCCGTGCGCAGCTGCACCACCCCCGGTAAACGCGCCTGGGCACCGGTAACAACCCGACCCGGGTACACAGCCGCGGGGGAGGGGGGGTCAGGCTGACCCTGGGGCCCTCCCGGCGCTGGGCCCCACAGGACGGAAGTGCCCGGGGCAGGCTGGTAGGTGTAGTTCCTGACTCTCCTCGGACCGGAAGTGACGTTAGCGTCTGCCACAGCGACGGGCGCTCCCGTCGCTCAGGAGGCGGAAGTGCCCCGCCCCG